CTTGGTTGCGCCATAGGTTGCGCTTTCGGCCGCGGGAGATGAAGCGCAGGGGTTGGGCCATCGGCCGCGCTTTCGGCCGCCGAGGAGAAAGGCGCCCCCATTGGTTGCGCCGTCGGTTGCGCCCGCGGCCGCCGAGAAAACCAACGCCCTCGTGTTGGTTGCGCCCTTGGCCGCCGATATGAACCCCCCCCCCCCACCCACCCTTCACACACCACCCCATTGGTTGCGCCCAAGGTTGCGCGCGCGGAAGCCGAGAATACCATGTCCTCCTATTTGTTGCACCATAGGTTGTGCCTTCGACAGCAGAGGACAACGCCCTCCCACGTGGTTGCGACATAGGTTGCGTCCTCGGCCGCCAAGAATTAAACGTCCTCCTAAGGTTGTGCCATAGGTTGTGCCCTCGGCCGCCGAGAGTTCAACGCCCCCCTTGGGTTGCGCCATAGGTTGCGCCCTCGGCCGCGGATACTTAAACGTCATCCGATTGGCTGCGCCATAGGTTGCGCCCTCGGCCGCGGATACCTCAACGTCCTCCGATTGGTTGCGCCCTCGGTCGCCGAAAGTGAAACGCACCCCCCTTATTGGGTGCGCCATAATTGGCGTTCTCGGCCGCCGAGAATAAAACGCCCCCTAACCGATGCGACCCGTCAGTTCAGTCAGTTCGGTTGGGTCAGTGCAGTCCGTTTACTTGGCGAGAAACAAATTCGGGCTACGCCCATACTTACAAGCATGCCCAGGCAGATGCCCCAATGGTTGGAAACTTGTGTCCCAATGGGCCGCCAACCGATAGCCAACCCACAGGAAAACACGCCAACGCCATCAACTGCGCCCAATGGGGGCCCACGCCGATGTCCGACGTGTCCCAGGCTGACATCGCGCAAAATACGGCCCGTGCCCAAGCCGATACGCATACAAGGCCGAGTTAACTAATGTGCGCGATTGTCCTAACTCAAAGTAACTTACGACGGAACTATCGGAATCATTTTTGCGATGGGTCCAATCACCTCAACTTAATGCATGGTCGGGTTATCGGGGGCCGAATGGCTCACTTCCGACTGAACACGGAGGGGCCCGAACGACTCACCCCCCACCTAACACTGAGGGGGCCGGACGACTCGCGCCCGACCAGGCACGGAGGGGGCTGAACGCGCAATGTTCCTTTAGCAGCCCGCTTGCCCACCCCCCCCGTTCAGGTCCGCAATTGTGGGGGCGCGTAAATGTCATGCAACGCGCAAGATGTTTGGGGCCCCATTCAACTGGAACTGTCTGGGACCGAACTGAACTAAAACTAAACGGGTGCATTTGAGGTTCAGTTAACATGAGTGGGCATTCCGTGGCCTCAGCGGCTCTCGATGTTCGTTGTTTTTTTTTAGCGAACCTGCCCATTGCCTTGCGCAAGGCGCAGGACGGCAATAGTGTGCCGTCACACAGCGGACCGCTGCAGCGTCGCAGCCTCATGATTTCTCGTATCTAGCGGGGTGGGGCGGGGTGGAGTGGACCCGTCACCCCGCGCCGCACACTGGGGACATTAGGCTAGGATGGATAGTCATGGGGGGGGAACGGGTGGATCCATTCATCGTCGGTGCAGTGCGTGGCCACCAGAGCAGGTTGCAATGCGAGCGCGGCTTCGCCGCTCGACTTCGGTTCTTTGAGGCAACGCGTCCAGGCGGCGCTCAAGGCCAGCGCGGCGACTCTGGCTTCGCTGGCAGGGCCGACCCTCATGGTCGCGGCCCGCCTCAGCAGTCGGTCTGCCACGACTGCGCCCGCCGTTTCCAGCGAGAGGGCGCAGCTCAGCAGAGGCGGGTTACCCGCGACTGCTGGGCGAGGCGCCTTCATCAGTCAGCGCATCGTTTGGATGCGCGGGGGATCGGACCAATGCCTTGCGTTTTCTCGGTCCGAGCCCTGTGGGCGCCGCAGCAGGCGACGCCCCGCCTCGGGGCGGCGGCGCGCCAGACGAGCGCGGAGACGGCGCCGCCTGATTGCTGGCGGGCTCTCTGGTCTTGAACAGAACAAACAACGGTGTGCCCTAACAGCAATAGCAAAGCAACCACAGCATAGCAGCACTACAAATCACAAGAACAATGCAATAACAATAACAATAACCAGAACGAGTCAGGCGATTAGTTAAGAACAAGACCGCTAGTAACAACAATAATCACAACAATGTCTGTGCAGACTCTCTCCTGTGCCCCCTCCTCTCTGACCCCCGCCATGGGGCCCCTCGTGCGCCCCAGCATCTGTTGCGATTCATGTTTGCAGCGTCGTTGCCCCAAGTGGGTCGGGTAGCTGGGGGTTTCGATTCGACGGTGCGTCCCAGGGATACGCACCTGCAATCTGAGAGTGTTGCCAGGGGGCAGTACTACCTTACGAGTTATCGTCATGGCCCCGTGGGCTGGGCTTGGGCGCGGTGGACCGATCGCGGTAGCGACGAGGCCGCTTGTCTTTGAGGCCTCGCGGGGCCGTCTTAGGGTAGAGGGAGCGAGAGGGGGAGGTGCGAGGAGGGGGAGGCGCAGGACGGGGGGGGGACTGGCAAGGGCATGTGGAGGAGAGGGGAGGGATGAAGAGCTTCGCAGACGCTCCCATGGGGGCTCTCCTAGCGTCGATCCCTGCACCAGCGCGCCAGCTGCAAGCACTGTATGGGAATGTGGCGGCCTGCGTGCGGGCATGCGTGCAACCATATGCCATATGTGGAGGCGTTGCTCGGTCGGGAAACCATGCCTCAGTGCAAGCGCTGTTTGCGGTGAGCCAGGGCGCGGGGGCAGGCTAAGTGCAAGTTGCAAGCGTCGTTCGGAGGCCAACATGCATGCATGCGTGCAGGCACTGTTCGGGGAATAGCGCGTTCCCCACCCCCCCCCCTGGCCGACTGGTAGCAGCGGGGCGGGGGTAGCGCAGGCGCGAGCGATGAGGGCAATCGCGGCAGAAATGTTTGGCCGTCTTCGCCCCGCCCCCTCACTATGCAACATCAATCTCCCCCCTCCGCCTCCGCGCGGCCTGCGCCTCGGCGGATGCCGGATCGCGCCCCCCGCGGGCCCGTTCCCCGAAGGGGTCAGCCCTGCCCCGAGGCCCCGACGTCGGAGGGGCAGAGCGCGCCTCCCCTTTCTCTCTGATCTCGGGCCCAGCCCCGACCTCGCCGTTGCCATTTAGGCTCAATTCGCCGAGGCTGGCAGGGCGTGGCGGCCCATCTGTTGCGAGGTGCGTTTGCGCCATCCGACTTTCAGACATCGGGCTTTCGGGCTCGCGAGCAGGCGCCATGCAGGCGGCCATGGACAAGAACGAGTACAACAGGGTGATGGTTGCCGTGTCCGACAGCAACGACTTCGACATGGCGAGCTCCCCTCGGGGCGCTGTGGGCCCCGTCGCCGCGGGCTCCTCGCAGGCTGAGCTCGGCGGCCACGGCGGAGCCGCGGACCCGCCGCCCGTCGACTCCCAGGGCCCGCCAGGCTCGGCGGATGGCCCCGCGCCCGCGGCCCCGCCGCTGCAGCCCAGGGCGAAGGCCGCGCCGCGCAACTACGGCAAGCTCTTGGCGCAGGAGCTGGCCCAGAAGCTCGGCGTGCACAACTCAGTGGCAGCGGGGATGATCGACGAGCTGCCGAGTGCCGTGGCGAGGGTCCTGCAGGCCAGCCACGGCAAGGTCATCATCCCGAACTTCCTCACCATCAACATGGTGGAGCAGTCACTTGGCGCCACCAGCAAGGACGAGGCGAAGGTCCTCAAGTCCAGCGCCAAGGCGATGAAGGTGCACAGTGACAACGTCCGCCTGGTGAAGCCCGAGGTCACTTTCAAGGCCCAGTGGGTGAGGAAGGTTCTGAAGACGAAGGACGTGACGCCGACGGTGATCAACCTCCCGAACGGCGTGCTCCGCCCTGACATGGACATAGCGCCGTGCACGCCTGTGTCCAGGGCCTGGCTCGGACTCCCGCTGCAGAGCCCGTCGCTCCCTGCTTCCTCCGTGCTGAGCGATGCGGACGTGCCGAGTGGGCAGTCCTCGCCATCGATTATCTCCGCAGTCAGTTCCAGCTGAGTTTGGCCAGCTTGCAAGTCGCAGCTAAGCTAATAGGCCTTCGGGGGCGCCCAGCCAGCAACTCTCGCCATCGCGCACCACGTGCGACTTCCGAAGAGGCCTCTCCTCGCAGCCGCATCGCATCGGCTGTTTCAGTATATTCGGCGCGGGCTGCTGGCTTCTAGTTTTTCTTGGCCGCAGCTCAAGTGAATATCCGCTGCAGTTTGGCAGCTGGCCCGCCATGGATCGGCTGGCATCGGCTTGCACTCGGGGCTCGAACGTTCGAAAATCCAAACCTGTGTGGCTCCTCATCGTTTATTCCTTTAGCCACCCTCCAGGCCCTTCATACTTGGCCATACTTCCCTCCGCGCCAACATGTCTATCACTCTTTCCACTCCGCCTCCTATTTCGATGCTGTGCTAGCCGCAATTCGGGGACGCTCGACGCACCTCCAGCCCCCTCATCCTTCTTCATGGGCACAGAATTCAGACACTGCACACACACACACACGCACACACGCGCACACGCTAACACGCGCACGCACACGCTCGCACGCACACACATGCCTGGATCGGGGAAGTGGATGGGGACTGGGGATCTCTTGGGGCCATCTTGGGACCCTCTTGGGGCCATCTTGGGGCCATATTGGGGATCTCTTGGGGATCTCTTGGGGTCATCTTGGGCCGTCTTGGGGCCCTCTCGGGCCATCTTGGGACCCTCTTGGATTGGTGGCCTCATGGGCCGTCATGGTACCATCTTGGGGGTCATGTGGGCCGTCTTGGGTTGAGGCTTCCGTCAAAACCATATTGCTGTTGACGAGTCGCTTAAACCTAAGACTTCGACTCGTCGGCCCCAGGAGGCCATCAGCGATAGTATGTGCAATTGTTGTGCCGCCGTTTTGCATCAGCATTGCGGCAAGTGGCCGTGCTGTCTTGAGATGCCATTGCCCACGGTCAGTTTACGAACCTGCGCTTCTTGTTTTCTCCTCAGTCTGTGTCTCGCCATGTCATCGAGGCGGGGCGCCAAGCCGCCGCGCTTGACACCTGGGGCGCTGGCTGCGCACGCGGCAGCACACACCCCCGCCCAGAAGACGATTACGAAGGTGTCGACTGCGCCGTCTGCCTCCAAGGCAGTCAGCCTGGCAGGCGCGTCCACCGCGGCAGGAGATGGGGCCACCAGGAGGCGAGGTCCCAATAAGAAGGTCAGTTGCTCCAGGAACGCGTGCAAGGAGGTGATGCTCAGTGGCAAGGCTGCCTGCGCCGAGTGCCATGCCACCTTTGCGTGGGGCAACTTCGACGGCGAGGGGACGCTCGAGGAGGTCATTCAGAAATGCAACACAGAGCCGTCCAGCGATCAGCTGTTCAGTAAGGTCAACACCATCAGGATCCAGAAGCACCTCGGTGAGAAGACGATGGAGACTGAGCAGGTAGTTGGACAGGAATCGCACAAGCTCAGACTCATCGAGACTTGGGATGGCCACCTGAAGTCGACCATCGAATCCGAGTCGGGGAAGAGCTTCAAGGAGCTGAAGCTGACGCAGACGCTGCTGCCTTCTGCTGACCTGCGGGCCGCGCACCCAGGGGCACTGACCAAGGTCAAGGGCGTCAGATACGAGCTGGTGAAAGAGCACATCGTCTCGAAAGACACGTTCAATATGCTCCACTCGGGCCAGATGTACAAGCAACAGGGCGCCAACGCTTTCAAGAAGGCCAAGCAGCAGTGGACTTCTGCGTTCGTCAGGAGGCTGCGGAACACGACCATCACCAAGCTCGACTTGGGGGGTGATGACGTTCCGCCAGACGACGGCGACGGTGGCCCTGCAGACGATGATTTGGACGCAGAAGGTGAGGAGGGAGAAGAGGAGGATGACCCAGATGCGGCTGGCCCTTGCATTGATGAGGCTGCGGGCAATCCTGCGCCCACGCTTGCAGCACCGTCTGCCGCGGGCGCTGCTGCTTCCTCGGCGCCGCGGTATCCGCAGCCATCCCCGCCCAGGTCCATCAAGGCTGCCTCCACCGTCGGGGCGTCGGTTCGGAGCCCTGCTCCGAAGAGGTCGCCTTCTGGCGGCATGTCTGTCCTGCAACGCGTGCCGCAGGACGGCAAGTACGAGTACTACGGGGTCACGTGGGACACGAACGATGCCGAGGAGAAGACAGCGCTCGAGAAGCTGGTGAAGTGCGACCCCATCGAGGCCTTGATGGACCAGTGCACGAAGGTCAGCGAGAGGTGGGCCAGGGAGTTGCACAAAAAACGGGCTGACGCTGACCCCAGCGACTCGATTGCCACTCGCATCCAGAAGCACCTCGCGTTGATGGCGCGGTGCAGGGCCGTCTCCCTCAACAGCCTCCCGTGCTACGGCAATCGGGAGGAGCGCATCCAGGACATCGAGGCAGTGGTCAAGGCGAAGGTCGAGTTCCCGATCGAGTGGCAGGTCGCAGTTGCTTTTCGCGCGCTGGAAGACATCACCCAGTCGAGCTCCATGTTGGCACATATCAAGGAAGCCATGGTCATCGCGTCGTTCGTTCCAGCCGATTTCTCCGCCACGTTTGAGTTCGACCCCCTGCAGCCCGAGATGCATGCGATCGTCGGTTCACCCGATGAGGTTGTGTCTCGCTGGCGGGGCGCGTTCAGCAGGATCCTGAAGGCGTTGGTCAGGCTTGCAGAGGGGAAGCCGAACTCACAGGCAGTCGCCGCGGCCATCCAGCTAGAGGATTTTCTCACCGACCTCGACGTCGACTCTGACCCCTCGTACCACAGCTGCCTCCAGGAGTCCCTCAAGCCACTCAGGTGCCTCATCTGTGTCTTCGACTGTTCGCACTTAGAGTTTTACGACGACGTGGCCGACACGCTGAGGGCTGCGAAGGCGGGTGGCCTCGCGGTCAACGATACGAGGCGCGCCGTGATCGACGCTATGGATAAGCTCCCCGCCTACACCGCCAAGCTCGAAGAGATCAAAAGAGTTCCAGGGCGGCCCAGCAGCACTCCGAGCGCATTATGACGATGTGTGAGGCCATTGTAGACGAGACAAAGACCCACCCGCCGCAGCAGCTTCATAAGTGGCTGGACATGCTGATGAAGGCGAAGATCGAGATCGGCATCCCTGATGCGACGGCGCATGCCTTCAACACGTTCGGCACGGCCCTGGAACGGCACCTTTCCGAGGGCAGCGTGCGGCACATCCTTTCGGGCGACGTCGGATGCATCGCAGTCGCTGGGCAGCTCATGGAGTTCCTCGCCTTGGGACGCCCTCAGCAAGTTGCCGAATGCATCGGCAGCTGCGTCGGCGATCGCAGTCTTACTGGCTTGCTCGAGGAACGCACTTCCTAGCTCCATCGCCTTCGTAATGACACCACTGTGCCCAGGGAAGTGCGGACACGCGGCCCGCAGGACAGCTCACCATCAACGATGACCAGGCCTCGGACGCGGTGCGGGGCATCAAGTGTCTGAATGATGCGAGGTTGGCGCATTACCACATGTACTCGCCTGCGTTCATGGGGAACTTGAGCGCCCTCGCAGTCTCCCTGAAGAGCATGGTCCTCGATCAGGCGGAGTGCAGGGCCGCCGACGCTTTCGAGGACTTGTGGGCAAAGCTGTCGGCGGTGTCGGCGGCGAAGCAGTCGTGGATGCAGTTGGGGGGGGCCGTTGAGGCTCGGATCGCCGCGGACGTTGGCCTTGGAGCGATCTTGGACGTGCTGTCCGCGACCGTCGCCCTGGAGAAGGCTGTCAACGCAGTTGGCAGCAACAGCGTGGCTGACATCGGGAAGGTGGTTGAGGACACAAAGGGGATTGTCAGCGAGGTGGCGGCGGTAACCTGCGACAGCAGCGACAGGGAGCTCCAGCTAGCGCTGGCCTCGAGCAAGCTGGAGAACATCGGCCAAGGTGTGGACGACGGCACCGACTGGGCGAGGGACCTCTCCGACAAGACAATCGAGGAGGTGAAGGCCGTCGGGAAGACCGACTTCCACGCGGAGTTCAAAGCGTTGGAGCTGGAGGCGGCCATCGGCACGGTGGAGGGCGCCCTCACCAGTGCCAAGGCCCTCTGCGAGAAGTTCGGGCGGGAGCCGAACGCTGACTTGGTGTCGAGAGCCAACAGAGCGCTGCTCATCGGGAAGAAGACCCGCTGGGAGGGCTTGATCCTGCTCGAGCTCGTGGCGATGGACGCCCAGAGCAACGATTCGGCAGAGCGCGGCACGACTGTTGCGAACATCAGGAAGTTCAAGCGCCTCGCCGAGAAAGATGGAGTATTCAAAAACATGTTGCCGCAGATAGTTGAGGCCGTGAGCTCCGCTGAGAGCAGCAAGAAGAGGACATCGCGCTGAGGTCAGGGCCGACCAGCAGAGCACAGACAACAGCACTCGGCCTCGCACGCCGTACGCCGCAGGCGGCAGAGCGCAGCAAAAGTCGTGACGCTTCGCGTAGCCCTACCAGCCCATCCAGAACCGATTGCCAGGTGAGTTGGTTAGCCAAGGGTTCCTGGAAGGACGCAGTCGCACAGCCGTTTTGGAGGCGTGCTGGAGGGGTGCAGAAGAGCTGGAACATAAGGCTGGTGACATACTACGTGTTGCCTATGCCACGGCAGTGCCGCTGGTCACAATAGTGAAGTGGGGGAGCTCTAGAAGCGCAGACGGGCGGTGCTTCTGCTGGTGATGGTGTTGGTGTTTTTGCTCCTGGTGCTGGCGGTGCCGCTGCTGGTGCCGTTGCTGATGTTGCTGGCGCTTGTGGTGTTTGTCCTACTGCTGGGATTCCGCCTGGGCTGTTGCTGGTTCTGCTTATGCTGCTGGTGGTGCTGTTGTCAATGCTGGTGTTGTTTCTCTTGTTGCTGCTGGTGGTTCTCCCGCATCGTGGGGCCACCTTGACACCTCGGGTGGATAACGCTCGGGACCGATCCGAAGTCACCTCGAGGGGTTTACCCCTCGAGGCGACCACGGATCAGTTCCGAACTTTACTCCTCGAGGTGGCCACGGATCCGGCCTGAACTTTACCACCCGAGGTGACCTCGGATCGGTCCCAAGCGTTGCCCCTCGAGGTGGCCACGGATCGGTCCCGAGCGTTACCCCTCGAAATGACATCGGATCGGTCCCGAGCTTAAAGCTCGGGGCGGATCCGTTGTCACCTCGAGGGGTAAAGTTCGGGATCGATCCGCGATCACCTCGAGGGGTAAAACTCGGGACCACTCCGTGGTCACCTCGAGGGGTAAAGCTCGGGACCGATGCGGCTGGTGCTGCTGCTGCTGCTGCTGCTGCTGCTGCTGGTGCGACTGACGGTGTGCGTGTGCTGCTGGCGATGCTGGTGCTGCTGCTGGTGTTATGGCTGGTGGTGCGCTGGTGTTACTGGCGTGTGTGCTTTGAAGTTGTGGTCTTTTGTGCCTGTCGTTTTAATTGGTGGTGGTGGTGCTGGAGCTGATGCTGCTGGTGCTGCTGGTGCTGCTGCTCTGGCTGGTACTGTTTATTATCGTGCTGCTGGTGCTGCTGCTGGTGCTGCTGGTGCTGCTGCTGGTGTTGGTGCTGGTGGTTGTGGTGGTGCTGCGGCTGATGGTGGTTCTGCTGGTGCTGCTGCGGGTGCTGGCGGTGTTGGTGACCAGCAGGCTGCGTAACGACCGCCTAGGAAGCGTTTTTTCGGAGGTCTTTTGGGGCCACCTTGGGGCTCTCTGGGGGTTCTTGGGGCCCTCTTGGGGCCATCTTGGGGCTCTGTTGGGGTGGTCTTGGGGCCCTCTTGTGGCTCTGTCTGGGCGTCTGGGCCCCCCTCGTCGGGCCATCTTGGGGGCCACGGCTGAAACAAAACGCCCCCCTTGGGAACTCACCGCAACGCCTTGGGGCCCTCTGGTGCCACTTTTCTTAGGACGGTCGTGGGCGCTCTTGGGCCGTCATGGGGCAACCTTGGGCCTCCCTCGGGGCCCTCTGGGGCAAGATTGCTGCCGTTTTGACGCCCGAAGAGCCCATCGGAAACGAGGGAGCGAGAAAACAATCAACATTGGGTTCCCGTAGGTTTCGGAACCCGTTTGGCATTTTTTGTGGGGTCCTTGAATGGCCCGAACGACTGGAATTCCCCTCGGGGTCGTATCGAAGCTTCTTGGATGCGGGTCGGAAGCCACCTTGAGCCAGCTTGAGTTATCGTGGCCATCTTGGGTGCCATCTTGGGTTTCTAGGGCTCTCTGGGAGCCATCTTGGGCCATCTTGGGCGCTCTGATGGGTCGATCCCCCCCCCCCCCCTCCCAGGCCCATGGGAGGGGGCAGGGGGATTGGTGCACCCCTCCCCTGAGCAGGGGAAGGAGGTGTTGGCAGAGAGAACGCGCAACTCGCTAAACCACCTACGCCCAAAGGGCTGGTGGGGTGATCCTGGCGAAGGGCCCGCCCAACCATGTGCAGTTGTGAATGCTGTAGTTGCGCCTACCACCTGCGGCGGCGAAGCTCTTTGTGGGACCTCGACACGTTTGAGGGGCGTGCCGACATGGGCGGCGGTGCCACGCGACCTTCACATTGGGGCCTTAGGTGCCCCCCCCCCCCCTGGTGCCACAAAACGTGCGAGGGGTGTGCCGACATGGCGCGGCTGTGCCATGAGAGCTTCTCCATTGGGGCCTCAGGCGGAGCTCCCTATGAGGCCACGAAGCGTGTAAGGGGTGTGCCGAAATGGGGCGGCGGCGCATGCGAATTTTCTATTGGGACATTCGGTGGGGTTCACCACGGTGCCACGAAACCTATGAGGGTTGTGCCAAAATGGGCGCTGGTGCCACGCGATCTTCCCCACTGAGGCCTTAAGCGGGGCTCCCATGGGGCCACGAAGCGTGCGAGGGGAGTGCCGAAATAGCGCGGCGGTGCCATGCGAACTTCCCCACTGATGCCTTCGGCGGGGTTCCCTATGGGGCAGCGCAACGTGTGAGGGGTATGCCGAAATGGGGCGGCGGTGCCATGCGAACTCCCCCACTGAAGCCTTAGGCAACGCTCCCCATGGGGCCGCGAAACGTGCGCGGGGAGTGCCGTAATTGATGGCGGTGTCATGCGAATTTTCCCGCTGAGGCCTTCGGTGGAGCTCCCCATGGGGCCACGAAGCGTCGGAGGTGTGCGCCGAACTTGAGCGGCAATGCCATCCAAACTTTTCATTTGGGCCTTTGGCGGGGCTCCCCATGGGGCCGCGGAACGTGTGAGGTGTGCGCCGAAATTGGGTGGCGGTGCCATGCGAACTTTCCCACTGATGCCTTAGGTGGAGCTCTCAATGGGGTCGCGAAACGCGTGGGGTGCGTGCCGAAATGAGGCGGCGGCGCCACGCAAACTTCCCCACTGAAGCCGAAGGTCGGGTTCCCAAGGGGCCGCGGAACGTGTGCGGGGTGTGCCGAAGTGGGGCGGCGGTGCCATGTTAGCTTTCCCACTGGGGCCTTAAGCAGAGCTCACCATGGGGCCGCGAAACGTCTGAGTGGTGCGCCGAAACAGATACATGCGGAGGGCAGGGGCGGGGATGGGAGGAGCGAGGGAGGGGGGAGGGGGAGGAGGAGGGCGAAGTGAGCGCGGAACGCGGGACGCTGTCTCTGCAAAACGAGGACCCAACACCGCGAGATGGTTGAGAATGAAGGGCACCTTGCGCCGCCGCTTCCGTGGCTGCATTTCCCAACCCCGCTCCCCCATCCCCCCTCGCCCTTTCTCTCTTCGCCCTCCCCCTCTATCCTGCGTCCAATCCCCCTCCTTCTCCCTCCCTCCCCCAATCCCCCCCGCGCATCATGCCCCAATCCCTCAGCCACCCCCTCCTGGAAGGAAGGGGTGGGGCTGAGGAAAAGCAGGGTGGATGGGGGAAGGGGGGGGGAGAGCGAGGGATGAGGAAGGAGGGGATGAGGAGGCATCTATGGCGACGTGCAGGCCAGGCGGCCAGGCGGCGGCGGCAGCCAGGCGGCGGCCGAGCCGCGGGGCCCTCCCCGTTCCTTCCCTCTCCCCCGCGCCTTTCCTTCCACCCCGCCCACCCTTCATTTTCAAGCAATGTCCTTTCTACTTCCCTCCCTCCTCTGTCTCTGCTGCGTCTCCTCTTCTTCCCCCCCTTCCGCTTCCCTTTCACTTCCCCTCTTCCGTTTTCCGCCCCCCGTGTCTCCTCCCACTTTCTCTTCTTGTGCCCCCTTGTGTGTTTCTTTTTTGTGGTTTTTTCTTGTTTCTGGTTGGTGTCCTCGGTCTCCTTCCTCTTGCAACCTTGCCGCCCAGCCCAGTTTTTTGCTCCATTGTTTTTTTTTTTTTTGCGAAATTCGCCCCACCCCCTCCCCCTCCAAGTCAGTTGCTATTTTGGCCCAAACCTCTCTTCTATTCATCTCTTCATGCCCTATCCCTCTCTGCTTTTTTTCTTTACAGATCTTTTCTTGACCTTTTTGATTTCTTTTTTCGGCGTGTTTTTTTGGGGGCTGGAGCGGCATGGCCTCGCCGCGCCGCGGCGGGGCCTCGATCCTCCGTAGTGGTAGCGGAGCCTCGCCGTTGTGCGCCGCGGCGGCGTCGTCTCGCTGCGTGGCCGCGGCGCGTTTGTTTCGTGGCGCGCTCGCGGATCGGTGATCGGTCCCCTGCGTATTTTTCCGATAGTCTTGTAAGTAATATTTTTGTAGTTCTTGTTTGTACATCTTGCATACATTTTGCTTCGTTTCGAGGGTTTCTCCTGGGGAGGGCATTGTCGCGGCCGCTGAAGTCACAAAGTTAGCGGAGTAGCGGCAGAGCAATGTTTTGATGTGTTTCCTGACTTCCTGCAGATCCTCAGAGATATGGATGTCCCTGATCCCCAGGATGCGTCGGACTCGCAGTTGGTCGAGGCTTCCACCAAACGGGCCTTCGACGGGCTGAAGCAGCATGGGGTGGGCAAGCTCGTCAAACGGAGCGAGGCCGCCGGCGAGAGGATCAGCGCCCGCTGGGGCCATGTCTACGAGCGGGGCGCGAACCTCGGATGGGGGATCGCTAAGTCAAGGTAAGTCGCGCGAGACTTCAAGTGCGGCAGGAGTGCCGCGACGACCTCTTTCACGCCAGGGAGCAGCATGGTCGACAGCCGAGTGGTGGACTATGTGGCTCTGAAGCACGGATGGCCCACCTTCACCGTAGACGCGGAGGACGCGTGCTACCGTGTCCCCGAGGAGGAGGACGCGCGGGTCGAGTGCCCACCCGAAGTCCTGGAAGAGTGCCGCGCGATGGGGCGACGCTGAGGACTGCGTTTGGCAGCTCGCGAAGCAGTTGCCAGGACGGCGCGCTGGATGGAAGCGCTGGGTCGATTTCGCCGCGGGGCAGCTCATTGCCAGAGGCTTCGGGCGGTCACCGACCGCGCCCCAGTTCTCCTGGCACGCCGTGCCCCCATGTCTGGCGGGGCTGCACATGGGCGACATGTACGGCGCAGCGCCTGGAGTCGCAGGGTCCGGCTTCGTGCTGGATCTGGGCCGAGATATCAAGGCGAAGAGGTCAGGCCCACAGGGCGACGGTGCCGTCTACGAGTTTCTCAAGGGGCGGCGCGTGCGAGAGGCTGGCGCTACCTACGTTCAGCCCAACGAGAGGTACCTCACAATGGCACTGGGGGCGCCGGGCCTTGAGGAGGGCAACCCGTGCGACACCCCAGGGGTGGAGGCGCGCAGGACAGGCGTCGGCGACGCGCCCGACCTCAGCCCAGACCAGACCAGGCTGTTCAGGAGAGTGACCACGCGCCTGCTGCTCTACCTTCATGACCGCGAAGATGCTCAGCACGACATGAATTACCTGACCTCGTGCATCTCATCGCCCCGTGAGGCGGACATGCGAGCCCTCAAGAGGGTGGCGAGGTACCTGAAAGGGCGCGAGGGACGTGGGCGTGAGGATGGCCAAGACCACCGCGCCGCGGGACATCGTCGACCAGGTCGCGTGGACAGACTCCGACTGGGCAGGCGACGCGAAGGAGCGGCAGAGCCAGACCAGCGTGCACCCCACCGCGCGTGGGCGCCCAATGCTCGGCATCAGCTGTCGTCAAGACGCACAGCCCCGTTATCAGCTGCGAAGCCGAGTGGCACGCTGGAGCTCGAGGTCTCAGCGAGGGACTTTGGCTGAAGGCGCTCTTCGCGCTCATGGGCTGCAGCGTGCGCATGAGCTGGCGAGGTGACAGCTCGAGTGCGAGAGCGCTGGCGAGGCGTCAGGGCACCGGGCGGATCGCGCACCTTGCCACCAAGACGTTTTGGATTCAGCAGCTGGTGGCCAAGAAGGTCATCAGCATCGAGCATGCAGCTGGCGACGACAACTTGGCGGATCCCGGCACAAAGGTGTTGCCGAGGACACGCCCCGAGCGGCTCCGCGAGAGCCGCGGGTTGAAGGAGGTGCCCGTGCCAGGGGCCTCGAGGGTAGCTGGAGTCGGGGCCATGCCGACCGACGTCCAGGGCCAGTCAACCCTGTTGACGAGGTGTTGTTTGCAGTGGGTGCGTCGCTCCCCACGGCGCAGGGAAGCTCGACCGAGCTGTGCGAGGCGCCGCAGGGTGGGCGAGAGTGCGCTGACTCCAGCGGCCATGCCAGGAGTCACGACTGAGGGCTACTACGGGAGCCTGACTGTGCTGATGGCGGGCGCGAGCCTAGGGCTCCTGCTTGCTTCGCCCGGGTATTCCTTGACTTGCTGGTTTTGTCCGTGTGCGAGGCCGAGTTGGTGCCGCGCGGGTGTCCTGCCGCGCGGCGACGACGGCGGGAGGCTACGGCGCGCTCCGATCGAGGGGCCGAGCGAAGCAGCAGTGAAGCTCGAGACTAGGAAGGGCGACCGCAGAAGGACGGTGGCCACCCAGAGCCAGGTCAAGTATATTTGGTGGACGACGAGCCCCCTTTTTCCAGCCTCTGGGGCCGAGAAAACAGGGGGTGTGGTCCGAGTAGGGCCTTGAGCCGCGCGCTGTTTAGATGCGCCATGGGCGCGAGTCTAGACCTCCGCGACTACGCGTCGAGGCACTGCGGGCTTTAAGTTTCGCTTTCTAGGACCCTGGGGGGAGTGGTGACCCGAGGGGCGCCCGAGGAGGAGCGGGTTCACCGCCCGCCCCCGCTCGGCCAGGCGGCGTGCTCGGGATCTTGAGTGATTTGGACGCCGTCAATTCGTAGCATGCCCGCAGGCCCTTTTGTTCGAGCTGCGTTGGAGGAAAAAGAGCCTCAATATACGCTTTCCCCATACATCCGCGTAACTTCCGCCAGACACCGCGAGCCATCGCTGGGAGGCCCCAAGACTCCCCAAGACGGCTTCCTGACGCCCTGGAACGCCCCCAAGACGTTCCAAGAGGGCTTCCAGAGGCCACCCGAGAGCGCCCCAATAGGCACAACTCATAGATTTTCGTATCGTTTTCCCGCCTTGTGAGACTCCGCAGTTCTCGCCTTGTCAGACTCCGAATATTTCAGACGGCCCAGGGAACAACCACGAACACCGAAAAGGGCCCGCGAGGCGCCCAAGAAGTCCCCCAGAGGGCCCGAGGACAGCCCAAGGCGGCTCCAACGCAGCTCGAGAGGCGTTCCAACGGGTTCCACGACGGCACAAAGCGGGGGCCCAGAGAGGCAAACTGACGGACAATCTGAGCTTCCCACCCCAAGAGGCCCCTTGAAGTCTCCACGAGGCCCCCGAGAGAACCCAAGAGGCTCCCAAGACGTCCCCAACAGGACCAACAACTGGTCCCAAGAGCTTCCCTAGAGGCTTCAAAACTGATTCCACGGGGCGAACATCGCCGCCGGACAGACCCCCGAAGAGGTCTGGGGACCCATGCCGAGCCGATGTCGAATTCTGGGGTCGTCAGCGCCGCCGCCGCCGCCGCCGCTGTGGTCGTCGCCGTCGTCGTCGTCGTCGCCGCCGTCGTCGTCGTCGTCGTCGTCGTCGTCGGCGCCGTCGTCCAGGGGCGGGCCCAGAACCACGGCCACGTCGTGGCATGGGGGCCCCGGGCGGCCCAAGGGCTCCCTGGCGGGGGCCCTGAGGATTTTCGGACGGCTCCAGAGGCCGCCAGGACCAGCCCAAGACCCCCCCAGACCCCCCGCAAGCGTTCCGAGACGCGCCAAGATGGCCTCAAGAAGAACCAAGGGCCACCCAAAACGCCCAAACAGGGCTCCATGAATTCTAATTCGTTTCGTTGCCGCGAGGAAAACGAACGTTTGCAGCACATGCGATTTTCGTGTTTCCATGGCGAAGCAAACGCCCCCCCCGAACCGCCCCAAGACGGCCCAAAAAGAGGTTTACCAGAGAGTCCGAAGACGGCCCCAGAGAGCCCCAAGACGGCCCAAGAGGCGCCCAAGACGGCCAGAAGAAGGCCCCAAGAGGGCTTCAATACTGCCTCATTAGCGGGTTTGGCTCAAGTCATTAGGGCTCAGACCTACGGTATCCCCGTCCAAAAGTGTTTCTTCATGGCTGCGGCGGCGAACCAGGCAGTGACAAGCATGTGCGGAAAGGAATTCCAACCTCCAGCTCGGGTGGGCATCGACACGGGTTTGATGGGCGCTGATCCCGAGATCCACGCCATCAACGGGGCAGAGCTGGTGGATGAGAAGGAGGAGGCGGAGGACCAAGGCTCGGGTACGTCAGAGGAGGTGCAGGACCAAGGCCGACACCGCATGGCACGCGGCCGAGAGCGGCAGGACCGTACCCCTTCCCCGATGGCAAGGGTCCGCGTCGACGGCACCTCCGACATGATGCTGGCAGAGCTCAGCGACGTCGGCTGGGAAACCCGGGCCATGCGCCAGCGGCAGGCGCAGATTACCATCCGCGTCCGGAGGCTGGTGCGCGCCGAGCAGAACCGCACCGTCACCATGCTGGAGCGCCGCCTCTGCGGGCTGGTTTTCAAGAACCTCTGCAGACAGCCCTTCGCCAATCTGCCCCTCGTGGGCGGGGAGTCCGCGGGGCGTAAGCGCACACGCGAGTAGGCGCAATGCAGAGTCAAGCAGCGACGGCTGTAGCAGCGAGTTAGCGCACGTCCCGCAGGCATGGGCTCTGTACAGGTCTGGTTTTCGCTTGGCGCGCGGGTGGCGCACGTGAATCCTGCAGGCTGGTAAAATATGTTGGGTGCAATTGCCAGTTCATGTTTAAATGTCACCGTCAATTCAGCGGCAGGGGAGTTCAGGCTCTGAGCTCCGTGACTCTGG